TGTTTTTATCACTTTCTGTATTGGACCTTGAAAATGAGCTTTTCCCAGCCAGCAGAGAGGTCAAAATAAGCAGTAATGCAAACTCAGTAAGAGACACAGATTTTCACTTGCAACTTGCTTTAACATGTTTAACAGTGCATGAAATGTTGTCTAAACTAAAAAGAAAATGCTTTTTAGTGGCTGGATCTGTTTTTATCACTTTCTGTATTGGACGTTGAAAATGAGCTTTTCTCAGCCAGCAGAGAGGTCAAAATAGGCAGTAATGCAAACTCAGTCAGAGACACAGATTTTCACTTGCAACTTGCTTTAACATGTTTAATAGTGCATGAAATGTTGTCTAAAACAAAAAGAATGATGCTTTTTAGTGGCTGAATCTGTTTTAATCACTTTCATTATTGGTCCTTGAAAATGAGCTTTTCTTAGCCAGCAGAGAGGTCAAAATAAGCAGTAATGCAAACTCAGACAGACACACAGATTTTCACTTGCAACTTGCTTTAACATGTTTAACAGTGCATGAAATGTTGTCTAAAACAAAAAGAAAATGCTTTTTAGTGGCTGGATCTGTTTTTATCACTTTCTGTATTGGAGCTCGAAAATGAGCTTTTCTCAGCCAGCAGAGAGGTCAAAATAAGCAGTAATGCAAACTCAGACAGAGACATAGATTTTCACTTGCAAGTTGCTTTAACATGTTTAACAGTGTATGAAACGTTGTGTAAAACAAAAAGAATGATGCTTTTTAGTGGCTGGATCTGTTTTTATCACTTTCTGTATTGGACGTTGAAAATTAGCTTTTATCAGCCAGCAGAGAGGTCAAAATAAGCATTAATGCAAACTCAGTCAGAGACACAGATTTTCACTTGCAACACACTTTAACATGTTTAACAGTGCATGAAATGTTGTCTAAAACAAAAAGAAAATGCTTTTTAGTGGCTGGATCTGTTTTTATCACTTTCTGTATTGGACCTTGAAAATGAGCTTTTCTCAGCCAGCAGAGAGGTCAAAAAAGGCAGTAATGCAAACTCAGACAAAGACACAGATTTTCACTTGCAAGTTGCTTTAACATGTTTAACAGTGTATGAAACGTTGTCTAAAACAAAAAGAATGATGCTTTTTAGTGGCTGGATCTGTTTTTATCACTTTCTGTATTGCACCTTGAAAATGAGCTTTTCCCAGCCAGCAGAGAGGTCAAAATAAGCAGTAATGCAAACTCAGTAAGAGACACAGATTTTCACTTGCAACTTGCTTTAACACGTTTAACAGTGCATGAAATGTTGTCTAAAATAAAAAGAAATTGCTTTTTAGTGGCTGGATCTGTTTTTATCACTTTGTGTATTGGACGTTGAAAATGAGCTTTTCTCAGCCAGCAGAGAGGTCAAAATAAGCAGTAATGCAAACTCAGTCAGAGATACAGATTTTCACTTGCAACTTGCTTTAACATGTTTAACAGTGCATGAAATGTTGTCTAAAACAAAAAGAAAATGCTTTTAAGTGGCTAGATCTGTTTTTATGACTTTCTGTATTGGACCTTGAAAATGAGCTTTTCTCAGCCAGCAGAGAGGTCAAAAAAGGCAGTAATGCAAACTCAGACAAAGACATAGATTTTCACTTGCAACTTGCTTTAACATGTTTAACAGTGTATGAAACGTTGTCTAAAACAAAAAGAATGATGCTTTTTAGTGGCTGGATCTGTTTTTTATCACTTTCTGTATTGGACCTTGAAAATAAGCTTTTCCCAGCGAGCAGAGAGGTCAAAATAAGCAGTATTGCAAACTCAGTAAGAGACACAGATTTTCACTTGCAACTTGCTTTAACATGTTTAACAGTGCATGAAATGTTGTCTAAAATAAAAAGAAAATGCTTTTTAGTGGCTGGATCTGTTTTTATCACTTTGTGTATTGGACGTTGAAAATGAGCTTTTCTCAGCCAGCAGAGAGGTCAAAATAAGCAGTAATGCAAACTCAGTCAGAGATACAGATTTACATTTGTAACTTGCTTTAACATGTTTAACAGTGCATGAAATGTTGTTTAAAACAAAAAGATTATTGCCTTGTAGTGGCTGGATCTGTTTTTATCACTTTCTGTTTTGGGCATTGAAAATTAGCTTTTATCAGCCAGCAGAGAGGTCAAAATAAGCATTAATGCAAACTCAGTCAAAGACACAGATTTTCACTTGCAACACACTTTAACATGTTTAACAGTGCAAGAAATGTTGTCTAAAACAATAAGAAAATGCTTTTTAGTGGCTAGATCTGTTTTTATCACTTTCTGTATTGGACCTTGAAAACGAGCTTTTCTCAGCCAGCAGAGAGGTCAAAAAAGGCAGTAATGCAAACTCAGACAAAGACATAGATTTTCACTTGCCAGTTGCTTTAACATGTTTAACAGTGTATGAAACGTTGTCTAAAACAAAAAGAATGATGCTTTTTAGTGGCTGGATCTGTTTTTATCACTTTCTGTATTGGACCTTGAAAATGAGCTTTTCCCAGCCAGCAGAGAGGTTAAAATAAGCAGTAATGCAAACTCAGTCAGAGACATAGATTTTTACTTGCAACTTTCTTAAACATATTTAACAGTGCATGAAATGTTGTCTAAAATAAAAAGAATCATGCATTTTAGTGGCTGGATCTGGTTTTATCACATTCTGTATTGAACGTTGAAAATGAGCTTTTCACAGCCAGCAGAGGTCAAAATAAGCAGTAATGCAAACTCAGTCAGAGACATAGATTTTCACTTGCAACTTGCTTTAACATGTTTAACAGTGCATGAAATGTTGTCTAAAACAAAATGAATGATGCATTTTAGTGGCTGGATCTGGTTTTATCACAATCTGAATTGAACGTTGAAAATGAGCTTTTTACAGCCAGCAGAGGTCAAAATAAGCAGTAATGCAAACTCAGTCAGAGACATAGATTTTCACTTGCAACTTGCTTAAACATGTTTAACAGTTCATGAAATGTTGTCTAAAACAAAAAGAATGATGCATTTTAGTGGCTGAAACTGGTTTTTATGACTTTCTGTATTGGACCTTGAAAATGAGCTTTACTCAGCCAGCAGAGGTCAAAATAAGTAGTAATGCAAACTCAGTCAGAGACATAGATTTTCACTTGCAACTTGCTTTAACATGTTTAACAGTGTATGAAACGTTGTCTAAAACAAAAAGAATGATGCATTTTAGTGGCTGGATCTGGTTTTATCACATTCTGAATTGAACGTTGAAAATGAGCTTTACTCAGCCAGCAGAGGTCAAAAAAAGCAGTTATGAAAACTCAGTCAGAGACATAGATTTTCACTTGCAACTTGCTTTAACATGTTTAACAGTGCATGAAATGTTGTCTAAAACAAAAAGAAAATGCTTTTTAGTAGCTGGATCTTTTTTTATCACTTTCTGAATTGAACGTTGAAAATGAGCTTTTCTCAGCCAGCAGAGGTCAAAATAAGCAGTAATGCAAACTCAGTCAGAGACATAGATTTTCACTTGCAACTTGCTTAAACATATTTAACAGTGCATGACATGTTGTCTAAAACAAAAAGAATGATGCATTTTAGTGGCTGGATCTGGTTTTATCACATTCTGTATTGAACGTTGAAAATGAACTTTTTCACAGCCAGCAGAGGTCAAAATAAGCAGTAATGCAAACTCAGTCAGAGACATAGATTTTCACTTGCAACTTGCTTTAACATTTTTAACAGTGCATGAAATGTTGTCTAAAACAAAAAGAAAATGCTTTTTAGGAGCTGGATCTGTTTTTATCACTTTCTGAATTGAACGTTGAAAATGAGCTTTTCTCAACCAGCAGAGGTCAAAATAAGCAGTAATGAAAACTCAGTCAGTGACATAGATTTTCACTTGCAACTTGCTTTAACATGTTTAACAGTGCATGAAATGTTGTCTAAAACAAAAAGAAAATGCTTTTTAGGGGCTGGATCTGTTTTTATCACTTTCTGAATTGAACCTTGAAAATGAGCTTTTCACAGCCAGCAGAGGTCAAAATAAGCAGTAATGCAAACTCAGTCAGAGACATAGATTTTTACTTGCAACTTGCTTTAACATGTTTAACAGTGCATGAAATGTTGTCTAAAACAAAAAGAATGATGCATTTTAGTGGCTGGATCTGGTTTTATCACATTCTGAATTGAACGTTGAAAATGAGCTTTACTCAGCCAGCAGAGGTCAAAAAAAGCAGTTATGAAAACTCAGTCAGAGACATAGATTTTCACTTGCAACTTGCTTTAACATGTTTAACAGTGCATGAAATGTTGTCTAAAACAAAAAGAAAGTGCTTTTTAGTAGCTGGATCTGTTTTTATCACTTTCTGAATTGAACGTTGAAAATGAGCTTTTCTCAGCCAGCAGAGGTCAAAATAAGCAGTAATGCAAACTCAGTCAGAGACATAGATTTTCACTTGCAACTTGCTTAAACATATTTAACAGTGCATGAAATGTTGTCTAAAACAAAAAGAAAATGCTTTTTAGGGGCTGGATCTGTTTTTATCACTTTCTGAATTGAACCTTGAAAATGAGCTTTTCACAGCCAGCAGAGGTCAAAATAAGCAGTAATGCAAACTCAGTCAGAGACATAGATTTTCACTTGCAACTTGCTTTAACATGTTTAACAGTGCATGAAATGTTGTCTAAAACAAAAATGCATCATTCTTTTTTGTTTTAGACAACAATTCATGCACTGTTAAACATGTTAAAGCAAGTTGCAAGTGAAAATCTATGTCTTTGTCTGAGTTTGCATTACTGCCTTTTTTGACCTCTCTGCTGGCTGAGAAAAGCTCGTTTTCAAGGTCCAATACAGAAAGTGATAAAAACAGATCCAGCCACTAAAAAGCATTTTCTTTTTGTTTTAGACAACATTTCATGCACTGTTAAACATGTTAAAGCAAGTTGCAAGTGAAAATCTGTGTCTCTGACTGAGTTTGCATTACTGCTTGATTTGACCTCTCTGCTGGCTGAGAAAAGCTCATTTTCAAGGTCCAATACAGAAAGTAATAAAAACAGTCTCAGCCACTAAAAATCATCATTATTTTTATTTTAGACAACATTTCATGCACTGTTAAACATGTTAAAGCAAGTTGCAAGTGAAAATCTGTGTCTCTGACTGAGTTTGCATTACTGCTTATTTTGACCTCTCTGCTGGCTGAGAAAAGCTCATTTTCAAGGTCCAATACAGAAAGTGATAAAAACAGATCCAGCCACTAAAAAGCATCATTCTTTTTGTTTTAGACAACATTTCATGCACTGTTAAACATGTTAAAGCAAGTTGCAAGTGAAAATCTATGTCTCTGACTGAGTTTGCATTACTGTGATTTGACCTCTCTGCTGGCTGAGATAAGCTCATTTTCAACGTC